AACCGCCCAAACCATCCTCCTCAACAAACCCCAGCAACCGCTCCAAAATAGATAAGTGTATCTACCGGACATGGCAATTTTCTGAACATTTAAGGATGCATGTTTAAAGATTTGGCTCGAATTGAACAGACAGCTTCACCATTGGGTTGTGAAGCACACAGTAGCCATCCATGCCTTTGCGTTCCTCTGAAACACTTGGCAAATAGTCTCGTATGAACTAGGAAGCTATACCAAAGGGACATTTTTAGGATATTAATTGTCTATCGAGGCTTCCAGTGGATCTGACATGAGTGTTGATGATGTTCGCTTCTCAAATGCTACCAGTTTACGTCTTCAAAGGTTGCCCTCTTGGCCTTTGTCGGCACCATTCTCTCACCGTCGGGAGGAGAGAACTTAGCTTGCAGCAGGTACTCGTCCCTGACCGTTTGCAATAACTTTTCACGATCCAGCTGCTTGTGAAGCTGTAAGGCCAACACCCTGTCTGGTCCTTGCTGTCCCTGTGGGTCGCTGTTGCTGTGGTTGCTGTTTCTGTTCTGAAGCTGGCTGCTTTGGCGTGACCGTGGGGAGGGTGATGGTTACCTGTGGATCTCGTGCAGTTTGGGGAGTGATGTCACTTGTGGCAGAAAAGCCCGGCTGGCCGCTGGCCATGGAGGCCTTATTGCGCCTGCGCGGGTCGCACTCACGCTCAGTGCGGGTCACCCTGGCGCTCAGCTGTGGCGCTGGCAGCTTTGGGCGCCCGGGCTGGCGTGGCGGGCCCGCTCCCTTCCTTGCCGGGACGCACAGTGGCCTCTAGGCCAGAGCCGAGAACCCGGGGTTCGAGTCTAGTCAACAGGACACGTAATTGTTTACGCAAGGCATTTGGTGCGCCTTGACCTCGGCCTTGAGGGCGCAATGGCGCGGGGCCTGCGGGCGCCCCTGCCCCCGGTGGCTCTGGCCTTGGTGTTTGCAGCTCGGGATGGAGGTCTGGAGCCTGTGGCGGCGAGTTCGGTTCCCGCGTCGAGGCGGCTTGCCCCTCGGGGCCGGGTGGAGGCGGCCGCGGGCTGGGCTCGAGCTGCAGCGAGGGAGGCAGCGCCTCCTCAGGCGGCTTTTCCACGTGCTTTACTTTGGTCTTGTGTTTCTTGGCCTCGGGCCCCACTTTTCTAGAATGTTCCTCAGAGGCGGCAGCGGCTCCCCCAGGGCGGGGCTGCCTCAGTTTTTGGCGCATGTCGCGCCGCAGCTGGTCGCCGCGCGCCGCCGCCTCCTCGCGCTCGCGCGCCAGCAGCTTGTGGATGTAGTCGAGGCTCGCGCGGCTCTCCTCCTCCTGCCTGGCCCGCAGCTCGGCCTCCATCTTGCGCACCTCCTGCTCGTACTCGCGCCGCAGCTCCCCGGGCGCGCTTAGCACGCGCACCGGTTGACTGCCGCCCGCGCCGCCCGCCGCCCAGTCGGCGCTGACGTGGCCGGCCAGCCTGTCGCGGCACTCGCGCGGGTACTGCGTCTGGATCTGCTCCCACAGCTGCGCGTTGACCAGCGCGCCCCGGCGCCTGTGGTGCCGCGCCCACGACGAGATCCAGGCGCGGCAGAAGGGACACCGCAAGCTCGCCTTCTCCACCGACGCCTGGAAGCACGGCTTGCACAGCGTGTGCCGGCACGGCAGCGTCACGGGCTCCACCAGGATCTCTAGGCAGATCTGGCACTGGAAGTCCGCCAGGGACGGGGTCACCACATTACATTGCGCCATGTCGAGTCCCGTCGTTTGAGGGGGGGGGGAGACGCTGGTCAGGCTGAGGCCAGGCCAAGGGGGAGGCCGAGGCCCAGTGGAGGCCTTGCGCCGGCTGAGGCGCTGCTGCGGTGCAGCTGAGGCGCTGTCTACCACAGAAGAGCAGCGCGGGAAGCAGGCTCACGTGCACTTCCGGTGGGGTGTCAGGTGACCCCCACACACTCTGTGGCCTCAACACTCCTGCTGTTCACTTCCGTTCCCCCCTCCCCGCCCCTTGGCTGAGCAGTTATACCTGCACTTGTGGAGGAAAGTGGGTTTTGAATTGAGGCTGGGAAGGTGGCTCAGTGGTAGAGTGCTTGCCTTGCATGCACGAGGCCCTGGGTTCGATTCCTCAGCATCCCAGAAGCAGAAACAACCGGAAATGGCGCTGTGGCTCAAGTGGTAGGGAGCTAGCCTTGAGCTGAAGAGCTGAGGGACAGTGTGGACACTCTTGAGTTCAAGCCCCAGGACTGGCAAAAATAAAATTCAAGCCCCAGGACTGGCAAAAATAAAAGCTAATGGAGGAACCTGGGCTCAGAGCCATATTTTTTAGTACTAGCAACGCGTGGGTTCCTTGGTGTGTGTGTGAAGTTACGGGTGTTTGAACTCAAGAACTGTTTCTTAGGTTTTGCTCAGGGTCAGAGCTGGGTGGTCGAGGCGGGTCAGGGCCTCTGTGGGGTGTAGTGTTACCCTTTTGACCCCAGACTCGGGGCGTCTTAACATTCCAGAATTTCCTTCACTCCCTGCTTGCACTCCACCTCCTTTCTTTGCTGGCGTTTATACCTGCGATTTGGGAGGAAAGTTAAAACTGTTTTTTTTTTTTGGTCGGTCATGGGGCTTGAACTCTGGGCCTGGGCGCTGTCCCTCAGCTCTTCAACTCAAGGCTAGCACTCTACTATTGAGCCACAGCGCCATTTCTAGCTTTTTCTGCTTATGTGGTGCTGAGGAATCAAACTCAGGGCCTCATGCAAGGCAAGCACTTTATCACTGAGCCACCTTCCCAGCCCTCAAAACAGTTGTTAAAATTTTTGAATTGAGTAACTTGGCTCAAAGTAGTATTTTTATTACCAGCACATAGGTTCATTTTTGTGTGTGTGAGGTTACTGTCACTTGAACTCAAGAACTGTCCCATTTTGCTCAGGGTCAGAGCTCTACCACTTGAGATAGAACTCCACTTCTGACCTTTTGTGATTGAGATGAGCCTCACACTTTTTCTCAAGCTGGTTTCAGATTTTGATATTCCGATCCCAGCCTTCTGAGTGCAAACATTGCAACCATGAGGCACGGGCAGCCATTATGTAAATTTTAATTTTAAGGGCTATAAAGCCAGTGTCTATTACTCATGGCCAGGCATTTGCTCAGGCCTAATTGATTCCCCCTTATGCTGAGATGGAAAAGGCTCCATTATAAAGGTTGCTCAGACAAACCGTTAACCAAGTTGTCTCAGCAAACAAGTATGTTGGTACACAGTTATAAACAAGGTTGGTGGGAGCTCCAGGCAAAAGCTAGAGCCTATCTAAAAATAGAGCAAAAATGTGTGCAGGGATGCTCATCTGTAATCCCAGTGACAGTACAATGGAGAGTTCAAGGTCACCTTGAGCTACATGAGACCCTGTCTTAAAACACATAGTCTGGCAGCACCAGTTGCTCATGCCTATAGTCCCAGCTTCTCAAGAGGCTGAAATCTGAAGATCATAGCCTGAAGCCAGCCTGGGCAGGAAAGTCCATGAGACTCTTATATCCAACTAACTATAAAAAGCCAGAAGTGGAATTTTGGCTCAAGTGGTAGAGTGCTTGCTTTCAGCAAATGCTCAGGGACTGCATCCAATTCCTGAGTTCAAGCCCCAGGATAGATAGAAAACAAAACCCAAATACCTCCCGCAAAATTTGGGGAAATCTGTATCCTTTAGTCACCACAGTTGCTTCTAGATGAAATTACTGTCATGAAATGATTTTGATCTGTGCAGTATCTGAAGCAAACTTGGGGGTAATTTAGCTCAGTACGCTCTTTTCTGGACACGCAGTGTATTTGAGAAACAGTGCTTCTCCATACCTGAGGTCTCACCTTGTCTGTAATGAGGTAGTCCTGAGAGTTGGGTAGAGGATTAGTATTTTATCTTGTTTTCTTTCCATGAATGGAGGATGCTGTTGGGCACTAGTGGCTCATACTTATTATCACAGCTACTCATGTGGCTCAGGTCCGAATGTTGCTTGAAACTAGCTTGGGCAGACAAATCTGGGATATTTTTTTAAGTCCTACGGCTTGAATTTAGGACTTGGTTGGGGCACTGTCCCCTAACTTGTTTGCTCAAGGCTAGAGCTCTACCACTTTGAGCCGCAGCTCTACTTCTAGTTTTCTGGTGGTTATTGGAGATAAGCCTCTCACAGACTTTTCTGCCCGGACTGGCTTGAACCCTGATCCTCAGATCTCGGCTTGCTGAGTAGCTAGGATTACATTTGTGAGCCACTGCAGGACTCATGAATCTTTTTAACCAGTAAAAAGCTGTGAGCTGTGGCTCAAGTGGAAGAGCAACAACCTTTAGAAAAAAGCTAAGAGAAAGCTTAAGGACCCAAGTTCAAATCCTAGTACCGCTATAATCACACAAAGCTAAGCAATGGTGTGAGACTCTGACTTCAAGCCCCAATCCATGCTCATGTCAGGCGCCAGTAGCTTGCACCAGTAATCTAACTCAGGAGGTTGAGATCTATGGATTGTGATTCAAAGACAGCCCAAGCAGGAAAATCTTGAGACCCTTATCTCCAATTAAACACAGAAAAAGCTAAAAGTAGAGCTGTGGTCCAACTGGTATATTGCTATCCTGGGACAGCCCTTAGGCCCTGAGTTCAAGTCCCAGGACTGGCAAAAAAAAATAAACATATAACCTGCTATTTATCAATTTGGTACAAGTTGAAATGGGCTAGATAGTGTGACACTGCAAAGAACTATGGAAAGGGACTTTGGTTACTTGTTCTTTACTGCTACCGTCAGAGGTTGGGAGGGGTGAGCCACAGTGCCGAGTTAACAGCTCAGAAGGGTCCTTGCCTCACTCCTGGGTGTGTACCTGATCTATAATCCATCTATTTTAGGCCTGCCATCATTGCTTTGATGACAGGTGTATGTGTGTGGCACCAACAGTAATCCTGTTCTTAACTCCCAAGTAACAGCTTTTTTTTTCTAGTTGCTTGTTTATTGACATTATATCTTGAGTATTAAACATCTTTGGATTATGACATGCATTTACATATTCAAGAAATTGCTACTACATAGCAATGTGGTACTCTTTATTGAGAACTTTCAAGCATGAAAACCCAATGAAGTATTTTTCAGTTTTGTTTATCAAAATACTTCAGTTTTCCAGCTGGATCTGGGATTATCTGTCAAAAACAAGAAAAACAAAATTATTTAAATCCAACGTATGAGTAATTTGATATTAGTTGACACTAGTTTTGTGTTCTTAGCTAAAAAGGGTGATGTTTTTTTTGGATACCAAATTATATGTACTGAGGAAAACCTAGATTTTTCCTGACTCAGCTTTCTCCCTAATCTCGGCTATCCTGAAGGGAAAAAAATTTATTTTTTAATAAATTAACATCTGTACTCCAGCAATCCAAGATTTACTTACAGCTCTTCTCTTGGCCACCAGGCTTTCATGGCATCTTCAGGTTTGATCTAGTTAAATAAACACATTGGTAGCAAGGCTACAGATGTTAATGTATTTTAAAATCCTTTGCTGATTAAATGATAGTATGGCACCATAACCTGAACAGGGCATAGTGTGTTGAATAAGGATTTATTAAGTGAATTTGGGGGAGGGGTTCTAAGAAGCAATATTTTAATTTAAAGCTTCCAATTTAAAAAAAATCAAGTATTACCTTCAATAAACTTAATGAATACTCTGAAATTAAAAGTGCTCCTAGCTGGGTGCTGGCAGCTCACGCCTGCAATCCTAGCTACTCAGGAGGCTGAGAGCTGAGCATCACAGTTCCAAGCCAGCCCAGGCAGGAAATCCCCTGAGATTCTTTATCTCCAGTTAACCACCAGAAAACTGGAAGTAGAGCTGTGGCTCAAAGTAGTAGAACACTAGCCTTTTGCAAAGGAGCTCAGAGATAGTGCCCAGAGGACCTGAGTTCAAGCCTATGACCAAAACCAAACACCAAGTGCTCCTTCATGTTGGGCGCTGGTGGCTCACAACTGTCATCCTAGCTACCAGAAGACTGAAATCTGAGCATCTCAGTTTAAAGCCAGCCCGAGCAGGAAAAGCCGTGAGATTCTTCTCTCCAATTAACTACCTAAAAACTGAAAGTGGAGTTGTGGCTCCAAGTGGCAGAGTGCTAGCCTTGAGCCAAAAAGCAAAATTTACATCATTTGGTTCCCTTGGTTTTCAGACTTTCAGACTCAGAAGAACTTTTAACACTGAGTTTTTCTTTTTAAATAGTGCATTTCTCTAGATACTTAAGCCTACATTTTGCTTTCTCTGGTTTTAGCTACACTTCCTAAAGTTCAAAATGTCTGTATTCTATAATTTGTGCTCAAAAGTGTTTACTTCCTTTATGGAATCGGGGCAGTTTATAGAAGGATAGGACAGACTATCCTAAGGTTAGCATATGTTTTGGACCCAGCCATGCCTTTAACAAGAACATCAAGAAGAACATCAAGATGACTTACGGTCTCACTACCAGGTTTCCATCCAGCAGGGCACACTAAAGGAAACAAAATAGGCAAAGGACAGTTGAAAAAGTTTAGTTTTCTTTAGCGACTCCTACACTCGTTTCCATATGAAAATGAAATAGAATATGTTAACAAGAATATGTTGAGAGAAATAAACTCCTGACTTCTCTGTTTGCCTGCTTAGACTAGGGGATTTGTCAGGCAGTTTATTAAAAGGCAGCTCATTGGTTTTCGCTGAAATTTTTTTATTATTATAAAGGTGACATGCAGAGGGGTTACAATTACGTAAGTCAGATAAAGAGTATATTTTCTTTTTGGACAATGCCATCTCTTTTCTTGCTTCTAGTTTCATTTTTACTATGTTTAGTTATATTTGTGACTTATTACTAAATTGAATGTGACTCTAAGATAGTTGGAACTTTGGAGATCTGGTTTTTAAAAAAGCCTGAGCATGGCAAAAGTTGCTCTGAATTTAAGAAAACTTCCACTAAGCTTATCAGTCTTCTATCCTGTAGTGTTTTGTACTAATGTCATGATTTGTTGTTTGTAAGAGGACTTTAGGAAGTGCCTTGACTCAAGGACTGAATTATGTTTGTTGTTGGTGATTGTTGGACTTCAACTCAGGCCTGGGCACTGGCTGTCCCTGAGTTTTTTGGTTCAGGGTTAGTACTCTACCAACTCTAAGCCACAGCTCCATTTCTGGTTTTGGGGTGGTTAATTAGAGAAAAAGAGTCTCATGACCTTTCCTGACTGACTGGCTTTGAACCATGATCCTTAGATCTCAGCCTCCTGAGCAGTTAGAATTACAGGCATGAGCCACCAGTGCTTGGCCTGAATTGCATTTTGGGGGGGGGGCGGTCATGGGTCTTGAACTCTGGGCCTAGGTGCTGTCTCTCAGCTCTTCAGCTCAAGACTAGCACTCTACCACTTGAGCCACAGCACCACTTTTGGTTTTCTGGTGGTTTATTGGAGATAAGACTCTCATGGACTTTCTTGCCCAGGCTGGCTTTGAACTGAAATCCTCAGATCTCAGCCTCCTCAGCAGCTAGGATTATAGGCGTGAGCCACCAATGCCTGGCTCTGAATTACATTTTTAAAGGAACATATAACAAGTTCTATTTTTAGCTCCATTACTGTTAAAACTTGGAAAGGATGAAACTGATACGATTACCAATGTAGTATTGGATTATCCAGGGTATTACATTATTAAAAAAGCTAAATTTAAAACTATAAACATATAAGCATAGTCTACATTACTAAAATATTGCCATATGGCACATTTCAAGTGTGCAGAAATATAATTTGAAAAATTGTACCAACAGCGACTGCGTTTATCCAAAAACACTATGCAAATGATTATTTTTGCATCTTACTGAGTAAGTAGAATATACTAGTGATATTTTGTTTAAAACCCTGTAAATAAGCTGGGTGATGGTGGCTTGCACCTGCAATCTTAGATACTCAAGCGGCTGAGATCTTAGGATCATGTTTCAAAGACAGCTGGGGAAGGAAACTCTGATCTTCTATTAACCACCCCCAAACTGAAAGTAGAACTGTGGCTCAAAGTGGTAGAGTACTAGCCTTGAGTAAAAAGAGCTCAGGGATGGTGCTCAGGCCCTAAGTTCAAGCACCATGACTGACAAAAAACAAAAATTCTCCTGGGTAAATAATAATGTGGTCTGCTAAAGGAAGTAAAAGACTTTAGAAACCATACAAATTACTGTTAGGGTAAGAAACCAAACTCTCGTCTCTCACATAGAGAAAACCAAAAGTTTTTAATGGGCAATGTACCTTCTCCATGCTTGTCGGTGTATTGAAATGCTTGAACCAAACGCAGTGTCTCATCCACTGATCTCCCCACTGGAAGATCATTCAGAGTAATCTGTCTTAGGATCCCTTTGTCATCAATAATAAAGAGACCTCTGTGAAACATAAGAATGGTCTTAGTTACCATGAGTACTGTACTGGATAATGTGAATTCCCTTGCCATCTACACAGAAGGATGTTATCAAAAACAAACATTACCTACCTGGTCACCCACTCTGCTCGTACACACACATGCATCCATACATTCACTCGTCCCTTCAACTATAATTTGGGATTGTCACTGTTAAAAGGATAGCTCGGAACAAAATCTGCAATTAACTATGCAATCTACTGTAGTATTTATAGCTGCTTAAGATAATCTGATAATTTGCAGATACTACTTTCTTTTTCTTTTTTTGTGCCAGGACTGGGGCTTGAACTCAGAGCCTGGGTGCTGTCCCTGAGCACTCTTCCACTTGAGCCACAGCTCTGCTTCCTGTATACAATACTTTGAAAATATAGAAGAAAATACTGAATTAAATAAAGTAGCTCATACACTATTAGATGATATTACATGGTCACTGTTCCACAACCTTTTTATGCCAAAATTGCCTTTTTTTTGGTCAAAGAATGCAACTAGCAGTAACAATTGCCATGTAAGGCACTACCTTCGTTTACCCACTCCAAAGACACAGGTTTGTTAAATATTGTATTTGCATTTAGAAAACCAATTAGTGGATTCATTCTGGGGGAAAAAAAGGTAAAAAGTCTGTTCTCTGTCATTAATTATATAACTAGCAAAGTTCACAGAATTCTGAATCAGTCTCTTTTATCTGTGAAAAGACAGGATTGGCCTAAAACCTCTAAATTAACCTTCCCGCTCTAACAGTATTTGTTAGTAACACAGTTTAAGTAGGGCACTCACTAGTTATTTTTATTAAAAAGTGCCTAGCATTTCTGTAAACAGAGCAACGCAATATTTCTTGACTAAAACTTGTATCTTCAAACTCATAATGTCTACTTTTAAGAGAATTATAAATGTACTTCTATTTTTCAAAACGTAAACCATTGTAAGGTACCTAAGAGTATGGCCTGCTTCCTCGAGATAAACACCATAGTCCTTTGAGATCTGATGGGTCAGGTCTGAAAGAAGTGGGATCTTTATGGACCCCAGTCCTCCTTGTTTACGAGGGGTATTAATCCTGTAACAAACAGAACACTTCTCAGAGCTAAGCAAATAGCAATATTAAAGCAGTTAGCATTCATTCCCTGTATATGCACATGTGAACACATATTTTAAAACATCTAGTATGCCGTTTTCTTGCATTTTCTCATCAATGAATTCTTAAGCTTTAAGTATTAAACTTGATATATAAAACACAGGTCTAGTGTACAGACATACTATACCAGTCTCTACAATAGTTGTTAAAACTGCATTTTTCTTTTAGAAACACAGCTGGAAATATCCTTGTAGTCTCATCTTTGTATACTTGTTAATTTCTACAATCAAAGAATGTACACAACTACAAACACAATCTTAGAACTGATCACAAAAGCTGTACCCTGTAGCTCATGCCTATTACCCCTAGTTCCTCTGGAGGCTGAGACTGGGAAGATTACAGTTCAAATCCAGCTTTGGTAGAAAAGACTATAAGATTTAATCTCTAGCAAAAAGCCACACTGAAGGTGTGGCTTAAGAGGTAGAGCTCCAGCTGTGAGCAAATAAGCTGAGCAAGAGTACAAGGCCTGGAGTTCAAGTTCCAGTACTGGCATACAGATAAACATACACACACAGACTGATTATAAAACAAAGCCTAAGAGATAGGCAGAACTCAACTGGAGGACCTTTTACTATTTGAGGAGACAAAAAATACAAAGTCCACATGAATTAGTGAAGGAAGTTATAAACCAGATACATCAGTCCTCAGACTTAAGTTTTCTGTAACTTGAAACCACAGAGATTGTGGAGCAGTTCTCTATAGGAGGGAACTGCCAGCCCTAGCAGCAAGCGGAGAAATACTGTTCCACAGGTCTCCAGCCCCAGTTGGGACACTAAGTTGAATGGTCCACTTTGGTAGGAAACTTAGCCAGATGAGAATATATCCTCATATTGTGCAGGCTGACATTTTCATCTTTAATTCCTATTACAACTAATTAGAACGTCTTTTCTGGATGAAAAATTATTTCTGTGCCTGTAGAGGCTCGAACTCAAGGCCTCATGTGCTTGCTTAGTTTTCTAGCTCAAGGCTGGTGGATTACTGGGTTTTTATTGCTTAGTTGGAGATAGTTTCTCAGATTTTTTTTTTTGTGCAGGCTGGCTTCAAACTGTGATCCTCAGATCTCAGCCACTGAAGTAGCTAAGGTTATAGGCATGAACCACTGACATCTGGCATGATGAATACATTCTTAATAAAGTTAAAAATTGCTTCTTGCTGTGCACCGGTGGCTCACGCCTGTAATCCTAGCTATTTAGGTGGCTGAGATCTGAGGATCACGGTTCAAAGCCAGCCCGGGCAAGAAAGTCTGTGAGACTCATTGCCAGTAAACCACTAGAAAACTGGAAGTGGAGCTGTGGTTCAAGCAGTAGAGCGCTTGCCTTGAGCTGAAGAGGCCAGGGACAGCGCCCAAGTCCAGAGTTCAAGCCCCACGACCACCAAAAAAACAAATTGCTTCTTGAATTTTTAGCATATGTGTTGCTAAAGTGACAACTTTATTGTTTCTTTCTGTTGTGTGTATGCTAGTAGTTGGGGCTTGACTTAAGGGCCCTGTACTATGGCTTGGCATTCTTGCTCATGGCTGATGCTCTACCACTTGAGCCACACCTTGCATTTATTTCTTTCTGAAATTATAAAAGGTACTACAAATTTTTTCTACCACACCAGAGAACTGTGTAACACAAAAATGGTGTATTTTGAAGACTTTTTTTCTCCCGACTAATGTGATTCAGTTGATCATCATAATATTGACATGTTAAGAGTTATCTGGTCCATACTCTAAGAGTAAAGACATTCTTTTTTTTTTTTCTAGAAAGTTAAATGTGAAATACTGACCAGGCAAGATGGGTAAACTGTGAATCGACAGAGCATGCCACCACTTCAGTATTTATGGATTTGAATTCTTCAATTCGGTCACCGAAAGCGTTAATTTCAGTTGGACACACAAATGTACTGAAAGTTAAAAGAAAAGTCAGTAGTCTCATAATAAGCATATACTAAAGTATCAAATGACTTAATTTTACAGACAGCTTTACTATATAATATTATAAAACTGGGCTCTGGTAGTCCACATCTGTAATCCTAGCTACTCAGGAGGCTGAGATCTGAGGATTGCAGTTCAAAGCCAGCCTGGGCAGAAAAGTCTGTGAGACTCTTACCTCCAATTAACCACCAGAAAACCTAAAGTGGCACTATGGCTCAAAGTGGTAAAGCCTTAGCTTTGAGAGAAAAATCTCAGAGATACGCCCAGGCCTTGAATTAAAGCCCCATGAGTGACAACAAAACAATAAAGAATGTTATAGATGGGCCTTCTCAAGATGAAATAGTCTATAAATGGCTGTCATTTGATTGAATATTCAATGAAGAAAATTGTTATCTCAAACATATCTTTTTTTGTCAATCACAGGGCCTGGGCACTCTCCATGAGCTCTTTTTTTTTTTTTTTTTTTGCTTAAGGCTAGTGCTCTACCAGTTAGAGCCACAGAGCCACTTCTGGTTTTCTGGTGGTTAACTGGAGAAGTCTCATAGACATTCTTGCCCAGGCTGGCTTTGAACCCCAACCTTGGATCTCAGCTTCCTGAGTAGGATTACAGGAGTGAGCCATCGACACTGGGCCATTTCATTTTTTACACTGCTAGACCAACTCCTTAAGCTAGATGGATCAAAGTGTATTTTGGAATTGAGGCAATATTCTCCATGCCACCTCTATCCCCACCCCCGTCCTTTCTATGTAGGTCCTCTTCCAACGTGTTTCCGTCCTGTGCAGCCATCAGTTTTAAAACCTCAATATCTACTCATTGTCAGAAGGGCATGTTGAGAGAGTATTACTGAGGGATATTTTTCAAACCACGATAGGAATTCCTTAAATGAATCCAGTATGTTCTAAACATTTCAACAAATGAAACAGAAGAGAAACTATGAAAATACAGTGTACATGGAGTGAGCTATCCAAATATAATTGCATACAAGTGCATGTTTGTGTCTAGTAGTGAGAGTCAAAATATTTGATCACCTTTACTTAAAGCTGGTTTTTGCTCTAGAGTATGCTGAAAGGGACCACTTGGGAAGGAAGCTGGGAAAGTGTCCATTACCACAATGACTAGTATGGAAACCTTTTTAACAAAGAGCATGGCTGTGCTTGGGCACATAGCCATGTGTGTTGCCCTATATATGTGTGTATATGTGTATTGGGTGGTAATGAAAAATATATTTCCTACTGTGGGTTATGGCAAAATAATTACGAAATTCACAGAGGGTCCTATCAGAGTCCAATATATTCAGGTGTTCAGGGATAGCACTGCTACATTCAAGCAGAGTTGAATTCTAGGATTTGGTGCTATATTTCATTTTTAAAAATATTTCATTTTAAAAAATAGCAATAGTTTCTGCCTTTCCTCCGACTACTCAAGGAATGCTACCTAGAGACATATTTACCCAAGTTGATCTGAAAGATAACTTGGATTAGTTTCAGTGTGCCTTACCTATTATGGAGTTAGTTTTTAAATAACACTGGGGAAATGTTTTCTTTCTACTTTATACCAACTTTGAAAACATGGAGTGTCATATATTTAACACATGTATTAACTTTCTGATATTTTTTGTTGGTTATGAGGATTGAACTTGGGACCTGGGCGCTATCCCTGAGCTCTTTTTGCTCAAGGATACCTCTCTACCACTTGAGCCACTTCTGGTTTTCTGGCAGTTTATTGGAGATAAGAGTTTCACGGACTTTCCTGCCTGGGCTGGCTTTGAACCATGATCCTCAGATCTCAGCCTCTTGAGTAGCTAGGATTACAGGCGTGAGCCACCGGTACCTGGCCAACTCCTGGCTCTTTAAGTGGTTAACTGGAGATAAGAGTTATAAGGGACTTTCCTACCCAGACTGGCTTCAAACTGCAATAAGACTTTCCACCTGGACTAGCTTCAAACAATGATCCTTAGATCTCAGCCTCCTGAGTAGCAGTATTACAGGCATGAGCTACCTGCACCCAGCTATTTTGTTGTTGTTGTTAGTTGTGGGGGCATTGTCCATGAGCTCTTTTGCTCAAAGCTAGTGGTCTACCACTTTGAGCCACAGTACCACTTCCAGATTTCTGGTGGTTAATTGGGGATGAGATTCTCAAGGACTTTGCTGCCTGGACTGGCTTTGAATCACAATCCTCAGATCTCAGCCTCCTGAGTTGCTAGGATTATGGCCATGAGCCACCAGTGCCCAGCCAATGTTCTGATTTTATAATGACCTGAACTTAAAAAGTCTGTCATTTTTTATAGCACTATTTTACTTCTGATTTCTGAAAGATAACATATTAGTTTCAATGTACTAGGTTTTTTTTGTTTTGTTTTTGGGTCCGGTCGTGGGGCCTGAACTCTGGTCCTGGGCGCTGTCCCTCAGCTCTTCAGCTCAAGGCTAGTGCTCTACCACTTGAGCCACAGC